CAACTATATCCCAGTCGTGGTCTCTTCCTCAAAATCCGAACCATGACACCATATAGTCCAACCAATTCATTTCACTTTGTGGTTTTTGGTCATATAGTTAATATTGAAGTCAGCTGGATAATTTTAACATTCATATTTTACTCGTATTGCTTTAACCTGTGTATATTTGTGAGTGGAACTGCTACAAATTTAAGGTGTGAGCCTTTTTGACATAAAATTGTAATTGATCAAAGATTTTGCCACCAAATAAATTAAGACAGTGTTCTTCTATTTCGTGATTTATCCATGATTTCATGTTAAAATTGTTGCTGTATAGTTTGTTGTAGCTGGTAAAGCATGTACTGTATTGAACTAGTGACTTTCTCCTTAAGTTTGATACTTTCCATCCAAAAGTCTCTAGGTTTAGTTATTAGTCTTTTTTTGCCCATCAGCACACCACTGGCTGAGAACATGGATAATGTGACTTGCAACCCTTTTGGTGAAGAGACAGGCCTGCTCTGTCGCTGCAACTGCCTCCCGCGTGGTCGGCCTCCGGACCTGCTCTATCATTGCCACCGCCACTGCCTCCTGCAGTGCCTCGGGGCGGCCGCTTGAACTGCTCGGACTCCTGTGCTGTCCGCCCCCAGGTCGGCCTCCTGAACGGTCTCAGTGGACTTTGTTTTGGTTAGACTCCAGTGTCAAGTTTGCGTTTTTGTGATTTGTTTCTTATTTCCTCTTTTATTTTGATAGTCCCAGTCCTATGTCAGTGTATTCCGTTTTACCTGCCCCTGTCTCATTAGCCTAATCTCTCCCAGCTGTGTCTCCCTTCTGTTGCCCCTTCCCTGATTACTTCCCTGTGTTTTCCTGTGCTCTCTGTCGCGTTTGTCGTGTTTCTACTTTGTTTTGTTTCTGTGAGAGTTATTTTTATGAGGAGTTTTTCCAGCATTAATGCTGCGTTTTGAGTTCCAGTCCTGTCTGTGTGAGTCCTGCATTTTGGGTCCTTTTTCCTGCCTGCCTGCCAGACAGGCAACCATGACAATCAGGCTACTCCTGTCACAATTTCTTTCCCCGGTTCAAATCACGGACAAACAGCATCTCACAGTTGTTTATGTTTTTAATACCCATTTTTGCACAGAGAGACATTTTTTTTGAAAAATGTGCTGATAGCGACGTTGAATATTCTTCCAGAGTAAAACACAAAAACACCCGAAATAATTACACCATAAAGATGGTTTCTTTTTCTGTTATATTTAAGGCTGCGTACACGGGTTTTTAAGAAAATGGAGATTTTCGTTAAAAAAAAATACCGTCCACACCCACAGTTTCGAAAAAGCTAGTTTATTCAATTAAGAAAGAAACTGAAAATTTTACATTATCTGAGTGATTCATAATCATAGGACAAGCTGTGAAATATGGCTGGTGTAGACTCGCAACTAAGGAATGGACAAAATGGATAGAGCACACATAAATTTAATTTAAAAAATTACATTTATTCAATACCGACAACGACTTTGACGTCAGGATTTGGGTTGTGAGAGCGTCTGTGTTGAATGTAGAAGTTCACTCTGACGCCTTTGTCCTTCTAAATGGACAGTAACTGCGTTTCAATATGTAAGCGTGTAAAAACTGCAGATGGCCAAATTAACAGCAACAGCATTTTGTCCAAATGCGCCACTGTAGAAATTCCTCTCACATAAACAACAACGTGACGCACAGCATATTTTTGTAGTGCAGTGCCATTTGTTTTCACTTTTGGTTTGATAGGTCTCAAGTTACAGCTGGAATGTAAGTAGAATTTATGAAACCCCAAAAACATTCCTGTGAGTTTTATTCTGTTATAGCTGCTGATGTAGAAGTGAATGGAATATTAGGATTTACTCCAAAATGTTGAACGACTTTATCACAATTTCCTATGTAATAATAAAATATTTAGACAATAATTTATAAGCACTGTTACACAGCAGTGCATTCATAATGTATAGTATCTAAAAATGAGACTAATTGTTACCATAACCAAGTTAACCTAATTAATTTAAATATGTGTCTCAGTGTAAGTCCCGCCCACATAAATGAGAGAACAATACGAGACTTACTTGTTTGAAGCGATCGGTTTGAATAGTTTACAGTAGACAGTGCCATGGCTTTAAAGTACAGATTCAACCTCCAGACTTTTTCTCTGGGTAGAGGTCTGAGACAGCTAGATGATCCTTACTTCTTCCCCAGAGCAAAAACAGGAAAGTAATGTTAGTGCAACACGGATGCACGTCTGCTTAAGTCAGCCTGCTTCCTCCTTTTAATTTGTTGTGACGATTTCTGCGTGGGGTTTTCATCCTGCCAAACCGGGCTTTCCACTTTTGTCTGACTCCTCCCTCAGCAGTACAATTTTTTATTTTTAAAGTCCTTCCACTGAAAGTGGCAACAGGTCTTCTGGAGTTATGAATCCATAATTTGTTCAAATCCTTGTCAGCGTGTACGGAGAGGGTCCTGAGACTAATACCATGATCTTTACTAACCCGTTACGTGTCTGACAAGGGGAGATCGGAATGAGGAAATGGTTTTGTGGGTTTCTTTTTTTTTTCAATAACCAGAAAGTACACAAATACAAGATTAAATATTTCATTTATCAAAGATAATTACACATTGATAGAATGAACAAGGTTTCTACAAAAATTACTCACAGCGTCAGAAAACTATAACATACAAATAATTGTTTTATGATAATCTGAGACACTTTCAAAGCATAAGAATAAAAGTTGTTTAAAAATCATGTTCTTTGATGATCACATTACAGTATCTATCACGCAGGCAAAAATGGACTCAGGCGCAGACCAGCTGAACTAGAATAGCAGTCATAAAATTTATTTACAAAACACCACGTGAAAGTATATATAGTGTGCAGGGCAGGGATATGCAACGGTCCAGGGGAAAAAGGGGAGAAAGTCCAAAACACGCTGCGCTCATTCGCTCCTTGTGAAGTAGTCAGACACGAACGTCAAGGAAGGTGGTAGAGAAGCAGACTAGGCAGACATTTCAGATTTCCAGAGGTGAGCAATTTATTTACCGTGAACTTGATTTAATGTAACTTAACAAAACTTCCTCCTCAAATAAACTCTATTACCAAAACTCAACATAACATGGCTCTGGTGACACAGCTCACCTCTCCTCTCTCCTGCATCTGATAGAAACTGGCTTTAAATAAGGCCATCAATTTCCCTCCAATTGGCCAGCCAGTACCACTGACTCAAACTGAGGGATCTAAAACTCTACACAGATGATCGAAAAACACAAAACCTCTACACACTTCTAACATGCACATTTAAACAACTAAATGGCAGTATTAACGAAAGGAAAAAACATTCAACAAATCCCTTTAAACCTTAACACAAACAAAAGGAAGCATCTCTCTGGAAAAAGAAACCCCTCACCTTGGTTTTACTTGCTGATGTCATATGTGACATCATCAGGACTTTAAAATGAGGAAATGCCAGGCGGGCGTTTCCCCACACCTGACCCTCATGAAGACTGGAAAGACAAACAAAGTAAGTATGAACAAATGACTTAATCTGTGACATAATAAAATATAAAGAAACATAACTTAGTATTTGTCTTAATTGGCAGAATGTTTGATTTGCCGTCAACAGAACGCTTACACAAACAAACCCGGGATAGCGAGTGAAGCAATGTTACTTGACAAATAGCAAATCATAGCAAATACTTAGCAACAAAATAATGTGTACAATGTGCAAAAAAAGGTAAACACATATGGGACAAATGGAGAGCATTGCAACTGCTCCTCCACTTTTTCACACTCCTTCCCAGTTTGACTTTGGCACTCTTCTGAATCCTAAATCGCTCCGCTCACTTCGCTCCTCTCGTATTTGTTTTCACTAGTGATGGGACGTTCTGTATCGAGGCTTCGAAGCGTGTGTCGAGTAATGGAGGGGGCGTTTCCGCGAAGCGCGTATCGAGGCTTGCTTCATTTATGGGAGGAGCTGAAAATGATGACGTCCGAAGCCTCGCTGCCCGGCTGTACCACGTGACTGGTTCAGGAAGTGGTTCGAACTT